AACATTACGCATATTTTCAAAAAACTAAAAAGATATATATATATATATATATTTTATACATATATATATATATATATATATATAAAATCATTCATTTGTCTGGTATTTCAAATAAGTAAGTCGGATATTTTTCTTTTTTTTTCTTTTTTTTTTAAGCACCTTTCGACAGTTCGCCACTCGTTCACTTAGTTATTTGAAATTCTGTTGCGCTCGCTTGAGTCGTGAGCTTGGATAAACCTAATCTCGAAGATTTCATCGACTATTAATATTTACACAGGAATTAATGCAATAATATGAGTGATATAGGTTGAATATATGAGACTACAGCCATTAATGATTAGAGCAAGTGGAAACTTAAGCCAGTATCATATTGTTTTCTTCTCCACGTTCGAACTTAAGCCAGTATTGTGTTGTTTTCTTCTCCACATTCGAACAGCTGGCAGAGTTGATCAATATCTCGCGTCATAGAACATCATTGCGAAATAATTCTGATCTTATCTTCAGTCAAGCTTCTTCCTTAGCAATACCAGCAGCATTCTCGTTCTTTGCTGCACATAGCTCTGACAAATGCGTTCAAGCAGACCATCAAACCAATTCTATTCATTGTCCCGTATTCTTTCAATAGTTTATCGCGTGTATTAGAACTCCGAGGAAGTGAAAGTAGCAAAAGCCGTGAAAAGAAATGACTTGATATATCTTTTTCTCAAAATTCTCAGATAACGAGAGAACAGCGATTAGCTTTTAACACTTTCCATTCTCTGAACTGACGCCTAAGATTGGTATCCTGAGAAATTTCAATGACTTCTGCCGTGCTAATCAGTTCTAATCAGTGATCGAGATCTGAGCAAATCCTATTAATGCCTTGTCGTCTGGCACTTCGTTGGCTGCGTGACCAGAATTCTGAAATAATATTGTTCGTGCTTCACTATGTGATCTTCACAACGTTTGCTAAAAAGGTTTGAAGAAGATTTACCAGCGAGAACGTTACTGTCCGTAATTGGCCGGCGCTGTCTATGAGTTTCTGCAAATTCGCAGCTATCACAACGATATCTTTGCCATCGACCAACCCTGCACCGACTAGCTCTGCCGCGATCCCCTCGGCGGAATCTACTCCGACAGCGAATTCGAATCTGATGTCGTTAAGCTCTCGTTTCTGGTTTCTAAATAAGAAGAAGATCTTCTGTTCAATATTTAAATTTCCATCGAAGTATCATTTCTGTTAAATTACTTTGAGAACGAGATTAAAAATTATTGTAGAAAATCAGGAATTGAATAGGAACGTACTCAGATGTATCTTGAAGGATGAAAGGGGTTTCAGGACGACTGCAATAAAAACGTAGCAACGTAAAACAATCGGAAAGGGAAATAGAACATTGAAGAGAGCTGATATGATCAAACTAAAGGATATAATTAAAAGAAATGTACCGTAATCTTAGCACCAAGTTTATAGGAACATTCTGCTCGGTGGCTTGTACAACAATATGACTTCGTGCCGATTTTACTTGTCCATAAAACTCTTCCTCCGGTTCTTCTTCGGTGCTAGATGCGTTTTCGATCGTGTTAACTGGCAAAGCTTCTTTGCCCTCGTCACCGCTGGACGCACCACTGTCCTCTTCCTCCGATGACCAAACCCATTCTCCCGTAACTGTTCTGTGCAGGCGACCCGACGTGCCAGGTTGCCTTTTCGAAGCCTGGAACAATTACAAGAAAGC